TATAAGTTTTTGAATAAAATAAATTCTAATTAGACAAGAATTGTTAATATAAATTTTTTTTTTAATTGATATAAAAAATAAAATAATTTTTCTAAAACTCTATCACAAACTACTTTTTATTATGAGTTTTTTTATTTTTTATTTATAAAAGCTAATATAATTTGACAAGAATTATTAAAATTTAAAAATACTTATTAATTGATATAAAAAGAGTTTTTAAAATAGTTTATATTAAACTCTAACACAAATTAATTATTTATTTATTTATTGTTAGTTTTTTAATAAAATAAAATCTAATTAGAGTAGAAAAACTCTACCACAAATTATCTATTTTATTTTCAATAAAATTACAATACATTAGACAAAGATATATTTTAAGATTTTATATAAAAACTCTAATACAAATTACCTGTTTATCTATTTATTTTGAGTTTTTTAATAAAAGAAAATCTAACTAGACAAGTATTGTTAATATAAAAAATTATTTATTAATTGATATAAAAAGAGATTTTAAAAGAGTTTCTATAAAACTCTAACGCAAATTATCTATTTTTTTATTGAAATTTAATTAGACAAGAATTATTAATATAAAAAAATATTTATTGATTGATATAAAAATAGTTTTTAAAAGAGTTTATATAAAATTCTAAAACATATTTCCTATTTATCTGAGTTTTTTTTTTTTTATAAAAGAAAATATAATTAAATAATAATATATATAAAGAAAATAAAATAATTTTTATAAAATCTATCACAAATTGACTATTTTATTTTCTATAAAACTCTATCATATTATCTACAAAACATTCAACACGTGTATTGCACGTGCTTTTTCCTAGTGTGTGTGTGTATATATATATATATATATATATTGGTTAACATTTCGAGCATGGTTCGTAGTATCGGTCATGATTACGGTATAACGGATTCGGACAAAATTAATATAAACTGACCGATACGAGTTGCATATCGGACAGCTAATCATGATTTCGAGAAAAAAAAATAGTAGTAATAATAGTTGATTGAACTCAAACCTTCTTTCTAAAGAGCAAGAGGGTCACTGGGTGAGGCCTAAAGTGTTCCCATTCTATTGATCCTAAGTTCTATTCTCCACTCCTCCGACTGATTACAAATCATTGTCAAGACAAAGAAAAGAAAAAAACCTTCTGGCTCATCAAATTCCTCTCATCCACTCCCTCCAAAGTCCAAAGTCTCACTCCAATTATTCTCAAAGCGTCCATTTGATTCTCAGATAATAATACAAACGGGGGGAGACATTATAACCATTGAGCCAATTAAAACTGCATAAAGGGTAATTATTTAAGCTATTCAACTTCTTGTATTAAAAATAAAATAAAAAATGTATTTAAGTAACAAGTTTATAAGTAATATAGATAGATACATATACATTGTTCTCTTGGCAATAAATTCACAGGCCAACCAATAACCATCAATCTTTTACTTTTTACACACCAATCATTAGTCTTTTACTTTTGGGGGTGAGGATGTAGCCGTGATGATTGATAATAGGAATAAATTAAAATGAATGAATATGACAGGTAAAGTTAGAATGTTGGATAAACTTTAAAATTCTCCCTTTTTTTAGTTTAACAATTTTAAAATTTCACAAAATTTGATTATTTTTCTTGGGGTTAGTTTGGTTAGCGTCAACCAGTTAGAAAGGAAAAAAAACATAAATTTTTTAAATTATTTGGTAGTTTGGTTAGCGTGAAAGGAAAAACTTTCAGGTAATATTCCCGCTGATTGATTTTCTTTAAAATGTTTCATCTATAAAACACGCGAAATTTCAATTTTGTATGAAAGTTGTATCATCATGTATTCGTTTCTAATTATACCTTCGGTAGTTATTTCTCTTCATTCTTTTTGATAAATTAAGACTCCTACTTATATTACAACTTTTTAACTCTTTAAATTAAGACTCCTAATTAAGTTACAATTTTCTTACTTTTTACATTAGGACTTTATATATATATATATATATATGCACGCACATATATTTTTATTCATAAAACAATTATTTATATTTTTTTATTATCCTTGTTGTATGATGTATTTTACTTAGTATTGAATTCATGAGAGTAATTTTGGTATATAAATCATTTTCTTTTTACTTTCTTGCTAACCAAATTAATGAAATAACATTTTCCCACAATTTCTTTACAAAAAAATCATGTTAACCAAATGCATGATAAAAATATAATTTTTTTTTTATTTTACTTCACTTTCTTTTCCTTTCACTTTCCATCATCAATTTCCGGCTAACCAAACGAACCCTTGGGGCTTCAAAATAGTATATTCTTTTATTTGAAAGACATTCAAATTTAAAAATAAGTTTCATCAAATCATATATTGATAAACCATATCTCGTAATTCAAACACAAAAATATTTATTTAGTTTTTTTTTTTTAAATTACTGAAAATCATTTATTCTGACACGTGGAAGATACATGATACTTTTAACAATCCACGAACAACAAGAGATCTAATTAAGATATGATACATACTAAAATACAAATTTCATTGCATGGATACTCAGTTCTTTCACAATGTAATTCATCTATATGGCACATGTGCACTAAACACTCCTCGACTATTGACTTTGTTACAAAATGCACACCATAACTATCCTTTGTTGTAATTAGGTTCCTCAAACTTTTAAAAGTGGTGACACCACACTTCTGATTAAGGTCCACAGTTTTCAGAGTTGCCTATTAAATAAGAAAGGCGTAACATTTAAAAGCTTTTTTAGTGACCAAAATATCCTTCACAACGGAAGAAAATTAAAAAGCTGATTCTTTTGAGGGTGTGACAAATGAGTAATTTTTGTTGTTATGAAGGGTATTTAGGTCATTTTATTTTGTTATTTTTTTTAATCTTTCTCTTCACTCGTAGTAGTGCCAACGTCTCTCACTTAACGATGAAACCTAAAAATTGTCTGTGATGTGAGACAATTTTGAAAGTTAAATGAGTTTAATAGATGAGGGGTACATTTTACAATCAATTAATAGTTAAAGAGTGTTTAAAGCATTTTAGCCCGCCTAAAAACGCTTTTCAAATTTGCATCAACAATATCCAAAATCCCCTTAAATAAACGATTTTGGATCTAAATAGTTGGAGCAGATAGGATATATGTTTAGGGCTGTTAATAAATTGAACTTTTTACCAACTTTTTAAAAATGATTTGAATTTGGACCAGTCAAGTCATGTTTATCCATTGACTTAATAACTTGAATTTGAATCTCAAATGAGATATGTTTTTTCAGTTACAAATTACACTCCCAAAGAACACGAACACAATAGAAAAAAAATATAATACCAATTTATTTAGTAAGAAAAAAACAAAATTACTTGCTTTAAGAGTTCAGTAATTGATAAGAGCTGGTTAGGGAATAATTCAACCCAATGTTACATGCCCAAACATAGTTCCAAGATACATTAAAAAGAGCAATACTTAGGTCTTTACTAGTGAGGATATACCTTATTATCACTAACAAGTGGGTATTTACCTACCATATTAAATTTAGTAATTAAAGATAACATGTCTATTTATTCTTTATCCACATCACTAGTGAGGATGATGTAGATCTTCACTAATAATATTAATTGTGCAGTACAACATTATTTATGTAAATGACAATATAATCATTAAATAAATGAAACATCAAGACATATACATAATTTTCTTCGAGATAATCATGATACCATTAGTAATTAAAGAGTCAATTTTGAATCATTTTTCTTACGATTGTCCTTCTTCAATTCCATGGTATATTCCTTGGATTTTCAAATCAAATAAACGAACAATTAATGGTTGGGAACTTGAGACGACTCACCCTTAGTGTCCAGAATGATCGTTGTTTTGATTCACTGCCATCATCTCTGCGCGTGGTTTTAAACTTCTAAGCATCTAAATATCTGTACATGTTGACAACACAGATGTTGACGTGAAGGGCAGTAGCTGGAACCAAAAAAAGCCAAGGAAAATGGAAGCTCTTTGATCTTCGGTGTGCTAGTAACATGCATTCACATAAATACATAAATATGTCTATATGATACAATATTAGATAAAGATAAAGAATGCAACAAGGTTGAAAATTTGTTGACATTATTGATTTAATGTTGTTGTAGTATTCTTGTTCTCTAATATATTGTAAATGTGTTATATATACATATTTGTATAAGCGCTATAAACGATCGTAGTTCAATTGTTTAACCATTCAAGGCAACTTAATCTCCTCTAATGCCTACATGCCAATCTCAATGCAATATAGTGACATGCATTCTTATGCTTATTTTGAATAATAATTTTACTCTTATGACCTTGCAAAATAACATTTTTACATTAAACTCTAATAATTCTTTTGTCTCAAAATCGGAGTTCAATACTCTTAGGATTACTCTACATAATTTTTTTGATAATTGCTAAGAGTGCTAAATTATGAAGTAGTTTAGTTATTAAATCAGTCACGCCGTCAGGAAAAAAAATTTATGTTAGATTGTCATATATAAGTAAAATGCATGAACTAAAAAGGAAATTGGATTCAACATAGAATTACAGGCACTCCTCAAGAATGTAAAATAATTGCGCCATTACTTTTATTTTTAAAACAGATTCTAACCATTCAATACCAGACCTTTACACAAAATGCATAAATTATTGTTGATCTTAAGTAATTTGATATATGATTTATTTAGTGGAATTGTTAAAAATAAGGCAAGGCTCTTTTTAATTCAACTCAAAAGTAACTTTTTAAGGCCTTTACAATACGTCAAGATAAATGAGGAAAGTGGCACATGGATGTTAGTAGCCTTTCGTTTGTGATCTTTACCATATAAGACATAACGGAACCCACGTGGGGGCCACCAACGCCCATCTGTAAAAAATAAAACGTAAATGGACGATTGAGAGTGTGTATCGGTGGACCCACAATCCAATCTCCATGCAATTCACTTATACACACGTTCAACTCTGTTTTGTTGGTGTTTGGTATTATGCCGATCAATCGTTCACGATTCTCTTGGCGCCTTGAACTCAGCAATAGATCTATATCATCAATCCTCTCTCTCTCCTTTCTCTCTCTTCTCTTTCCTCGTCACCGGCAGAAAACCCTAGAAAATGGTTTATACTATATCAGGGATTCGACTGCCTACTGCTCCGTTCGTCTACCAGTCATCTGGATCGAACTTTCTCGGTGATCGGAAGACTACGAATCTCTCACTATCGTCGAGGAACCGTTATTTTTCTCGTAAATCTTTATCTCTCACACTCTTTCTCTATCTATATATATATAAATATGCTATTATACTCCCTATTTCTAACTCTGTATCTGCACTACTTAGTGTGCAATGTTACTGCAATTTTAGCATTTCTTTTCGGAATTTTGTGTTATTCTCTTTGTTGATCGGTATTTTGGAGTTTTTTTTTTTTTTTTTTTTTTTCTCGAAAGATCGGTATTTTGGAGTTTGCTTACTGTCAAAAACTGTTTGAAATACTTATATCGCGGTTTCCAACATTTTCAATTTTCAGTTCTTACGAAAAAGAAATCACGGAATTTTAAATGCGGTACTGATTTTTTCTTTCTTCTCCTGTTATTTGCAAACTTGTAACATGTTTAATGGAAAATTATGTTATAGCTGTTTCTGCTGAAAGACGCTATTATTGGTTTTCATCTTTCCACTAGGTAACATGCAATTCTAGCCCCCCAATGGTATTCACAGTTGGCCTCAAGATTAATTTTACTGGTACCAAATGTTATGATCAAGCAAAACTGCAAAGTTGCTGTTTAAGAAACTATACCACAGAAATCGTTTTGATACTTGGGTCAGACGACTCAAACCATGTTTTATAGAAAGCTAAAGATAACATCAAGGGTTAAAACATATAACTGTTAGGACAGTGGTGGAGTGGCAGAGGACTAGAGGGGCCTATAAATTCAAGTTTAATATTGTCTATCTTAAGTGGATATTCAGGAACTGCATATGAAATGTGTCAAAAGGAAAGTGCTCTCTTTTTTAAAAAATTATTCTTATGTTTTATCTAATTATCTTATTGATAAAAACACAATCTGCCGCACAAGGATACTCATAGAGTTACTAACAAACTAAATAATTTGGTCATAAGCTTCAATTTATTGCCAATAGTGCTAAATGATGCATTAGTTAAGAATATTGATTTCTTCCATGGACAAAATCATACTCACAACAATATGACAAATTTTAGAGAACAATAACGGAAATCAATTCCAACTAATCATAAATTGCTTGCTGTGGAAGAACCGGATACAAATTCTTATTATCAACCATAACTGAATCAAAGTGTTGTTAAGTTATTAGCCCCCGGGGGTAAGCAAAGGTCACGGGACTTAGTACTGGTATATATTTGTTAAGTTTGTTGGGGTTAGAATATACCACATGATCTACAAACTATGAAGATGAAAATTGAAGATCATGACAAGGGTAAAGGCTAATATACCTCTTGAATATCATATTCACCAATCAGGGTTGCATATTGTGCATTCACACCACACACCATGATTAAGATGCACTAATTTTTCTTTTTAATCTATGCATTAGACATATTTTAGAATGTATGTGAACATGTTATATATTGAAAACTTATGTTTTTAATCTATAGAGTATTTGGATTTATTGAGTTATGGTTTGACCCTTACTGCCAAAGTTTGAACAATTGACATGGGAGAGGATCAAACGAACTTTGCAAGACTCAGTTTCCTATTCTTTTTCCAACCCAAAAACAAAAACCGGAATTGTTCTTGGATAGACAAGTTATATATACCAATATAGGGTTTTGTAAACATATACTTCCATACAGAGTTACAAAGAGAAAGCATGTAGGTAATATAAGAACACTTATTTTCCTTTTGATCATGTAAGCAATTTTCATTAGATGGTGAACTATTATTCGGAGTGTTGAATCAATATACTTGAAGTGCAAAAAGGATTTGAATCTATGTTACATGGGCTCAAGGTGCGGGTGTCTATCCAGGCAAGTGTTAAATCTCAAACAGAAAGACACTTGGACATTGCTAAATTTGCATATTATTTAATATTTTTATTTTATTTTCTAGAGTAAAATAATGTCTTTATATAACATTGCATTCAATAGACTTTTCACTTGTTTGAACAATAATATAACAAAAGTGAATTATTGGATTTCATTTAAGGCTCTTTTCCAACCAAATAGTGTAGTAAACGTATCCCATATCCATGTTGAGGATTGTGTCCCCACAATGGCAGGAGTCTCCTGCATTGGCTGGTCCCTTTATTTATGTTCAAGTATTGCGTGTCCGACAAGGGCACTTTACCAACTTTTGAAGACTCCATTTAACATAGATGTCAACTTTTATGTTCGATATTGTATGTCTGATACGTCTGTCTTTTATGTCTATGCATAAGAATTGTTCCAATTCTTTGAATGGTGGGATAAAATGTTGGCTTCTGATTGAACAAGTTAAATTAGAAAAAATTCCTCAGTTAAAAGGTAAGTAAAAAGGGACAAAATCATTATCCTAGCTTTTTTGGGGAGTAAATTATATAGATCAGAGATTTTCATTCAATGGAGAATGCTTCATGGTTGCCCTTCATTACAGTTTAGCTGTCCAAGTATACTGTCTTTTCCTATCTATCAGTCTGGGTTGAACTTGCCTTGTGTTTATTTTGGAATTGATTAATTTGCTCCATTTTGTATATTCTGTCAAAGAAAATTTCAATAATAACTGTTTTGAAAGATTATCTTACATTTTGAAGCAATACGTAGCCTGTCTTTTACATCTATTTATTAGTATTTTATCAATTATTTGAGTGATGGGATAGAATATTTGCTTCTGCTTGAACAAGGTAAAAATGAAAAAAAAAAACTATTTGGTTAAAGCATAAAAGGTAAGTAAAGAAGGAATAAACCACGATCCCACCTTATAGGGGGGGGGGGGGGGGGGGGGGTTATATATACGTATCAGACTTTCCTAATGCTCCATGGTTCCCTTCATTATAGTTATGCTGCAGCATTTTTTTTTGTCTATCGTCTTTGTGAAGAATGGCATCATACTGGACCTCTTATGGAGTTACATCATTCTTGAATTATCAGTATTAACGATTAAGGGGCTTCTATGCCCTTGGAGGTTTCCAGTGTGGTTATCTGAAATACATGGTTTGGGTTGGTAGGATTCAATAGCAAGTAGTAACTCTTCCAGAACTCGTTACTTGGAAGTTCTGATCTCATGACTGAATTGCATTCTCTTTTCTTTACTAAGATGAACTTAATTATTTGTTATATTCTGTAATTGTCACCATAGTTGTGTACAAATGATAAATGTCTACATCTTGTCAGCTTGTGGAGCTAATTTGCTGCTTGATTGTAGGTAAGATTTTTGCAGGGAGGTCTTCTTATGATTCTGACTCCCCATCTTATACAGTTGCTGCATCTGAGAAAGTCCTTATTCCTGGCAGCCAGAGTGACGGTTCTTCATCATCAACAGATCAATTGGAAGCTACTGATACCAATTTGGAAGATCCTCAGGTATGTGGATATACATCCCATACATACACGTGTGCGTACATGCTTATTCACACACACAATTACGCGAAGACCCAGATGCCTACGTTATGTATCATACCATATCGTTTTTCTAACTATAATTTGTATCTATGATGGAAAGCTGAATAATCTGTTATATCCTATTGTTGTGGCAAATTTAATGCACCCTTGGTTGTATTTTTAGCATGTTCTAACTTTTCAACCAAGTATTAAATAATTAAGTCCTGGCAGGGAAATGATGATAAACAAAGTTTAAATCAATATCAATATGCTTAGTTTGCTGATGGAAAACTGAATTACTTTATCTGTTCTATGACCCTCAAGTCACAATAAAAAGCAGTAGGTGTTAAAACTAATGATCCTCATGTCAGAAAGAAGATATCTGTAGCAGTAATAGCCATAGCATGATAATCTGCTACTGCACTAGAGTGGATACAATTTCCCACTTCTAGCTTTTTTCAAGAAATGAGAATCTCCTAGAAAATCACTTAAGCGTCAAGCAGAAGCGATGGTGAATAAATCAAATTTATGGGATGGAGTACCACAAAGATAGTTACTGATGCAGAAGAGAAGCATAATGGACAAGTGGGGCAACAACAAGATGGCTATTAACCTATGCTACATAAACATAGAGATAAATGAGGCCACCAAGAAGCTGAAGTTAAGTGGCAGCAGGAAGAGGCTTACCATCATCTGGTAAAAGCTTAAAATGAGGCTCCGTTGTAGGAGAAGCAGTAGCAGTATCTGCCAAGCAGATTTGAGAAATTAGAGCAGTTCAGCAGTTGTATATTTTTGTTTGGGAAAGGAGGTAGCCATGTGGAACGTAAATAACCTTGAGACCTATTCAATAAGGAACCCGAGATCTTTCATCTCAAAAGCAGGTTGCAAGTGCTCTTTGACAGACTGAATGTGAGTAAGTACATTGTTTGGGCTGTTCTAGTTGTAGCCTTTTTATTCTCCCTTTCACTCGTAGTTTGGTGAATAAATGACTCTAGAGGTACTACTAATTTGAGTTTGGGAATCGAACTGTATCAATGTGTCTCTGGTGATAATCATGTAATTAGCATACAAAAGCAATATTACCCTTCAATGGAACAGTGAATGAACACGGTCATGCTGAAAATCTGTCGATAAAGCAATTGCACTGAATTTCTCAAACCAAGCATAAGGAGCTTTATTCGAGACCATGAAGTGTACATTGAAGACCACATCCATGTTTTGGGGAGGTGAGTAAGACAGGGAAGGTTTGTATGTAAACCTCTTCATGACAATCACCATGAGAAAATGTGATTTTCACTTTAAGCTTATAAAGAGTCCATTGACAAATAGCAGCCATAACCATTATTCTCTAGACTATAGCCAAAGGAAGCACATCTCACTGGACAGGCAATGGGTTTGGCATGTTCATGAAGGAGAAAGAGGGACATAACAACTGCTTCCAAAAACTTACCAAATAAAATGAATCAACCTGCACTTGATTGAGCTGGTAAGAATGAAAGGCAATTTAGGATGAATGCAGTACAAGTTATATGAAATATGCTGAAATCGTCACTCTTGATACACAATTTTGGTACTGAACAGAAGCATCATCTCAAGCTGAGGAAATTGTGCACGCTGCACAGAGGTCAGACATTGATGGCCAATGGATGAAATAATTCCAAGTGAAGAATTGGAGATGTCTGGAGAAGTGGGAACAACAGCTGGAAAATTAGCTCGATTTTAATTAGGCCTTTTCTGGAAAAGCCTAGGATGATTTGGTGTTAAATGTCCAAATTTCTTGCAATTGCAACATTAATTAGGTGAAGACGCCAGTGGAAGTTCCACAATTAGAAGTAGAATGAGATGAATATTGGGAAGCATCTATGACTAAAGCCTCCTCAGTATGATGATTAGTGCAAAAATACGAAGATGACCCTCTTCAGCAATCAAGTCAGCTATTGCAGAGCCAAAAGTTAGAAATGGAGAAAAAAATACAAAATTTTGACCTCACTAAGCTCTAATTCTGGTTGAAGATGTTTCGTGTGCATAAAAGGATGTTATTTCAACATTTTGCATGCCCACTGGCACAAGAAAACCAATGATGACACCATTAGAGAACTGCTGCTAATAATACTGTCATTAACGTTTAAAGCTCTTGAATTCTATGATTGCCTTGATGAGTAGAAAGACTTAAATCAATTGAAACTCTCGTGCATTGCTTGACTGATTCAATTTTGCCCCACATATCTTGGCCACACAGAACTTTCTTCATAGATACCCACCAAATGTTTTAATTTGCGGCATCAAGCTTCATATTAGTGTTGGTGTTAAAATCTGTAGGAAGAAGCCATGGCGACCAATGGAATCAAATGTATTCTGAGTTTGATCTTTGAACAGCAAATAGAGGCGAAAATAGATAAGAACTCCCGAGGCCACCGTCAATTCAACTTAGGTATCTTGAGATGGTCATACGGCAAAGAATTTAAGGAGAAAACCAAAGCCCCAGGTTTGATCAAATTCCAGTAATATTCCTGATGTCACTTTCCCTTGATTTACATCATTCAACTTTGGTGGAAAAATGTAACAGTAGAATTGTCTTAGGAAGGAGATGAGATCTGATCAGGGACACTGGAGTTGGAATTTAGATTATAATGTTAAAGGGTGAAAACAAATCTAGCCTTTAGAGTAATACCTGGATATGTATACAATGCATAACTGTACTAGACTACAATGCAGAAGATACAATTCTATTATGACATGGGATAGAGTAACTGTGTTTAACATAAACAGAATCATTCTTGGCTGTCTCAACGGGAAAAGATTCATTTTTATAGTCCTCTTTGCTGGTTGGCTGAAAGAGGTGGAAACCCTTTTTTGTCTTTTGCCGACCCTTTTTATCCTCCTTGAAACTTATATGGAGTAAACGAGTGTCTGATTCATTCAGGAAAAAAAAAAAAAAAAAAAAAAAAAACGAGTGTCTGATTCTTTGTTGGTCAGAATTGTTCACCTTTTGTTCTGTCCTTCTTTTCCCAGTTTTTACTATCTGTCATCTCTATTTCCCTTGTATCTTTTGTTCTGTGCAACAAACTTGTGTTACTTACTAATAGGGGAAAAAGAGGAGAAAATGGCCAAGAAAATAATAAGATGGTGTTCAAGCTCATGGGAAGCCTTGATTAAGGTGCTGATTCATAAAACTGAAAATTAAGTACTGAATTTTAATAGCTGAGTTTTAGGTGTGAAGTTTTAAGCGGTAATTGTAAATTGGGAATTTGTTTCATATTTTTTTTGAATTCAGAGTACTCATCCTTGAGTGATATCACTGTCACCTAAAATTTTATCTCATTTCTAGTGACACTTAAGTTTTTAAGCACTTAATCCATTTAGATTAAGTGCTAAATGGAGTTATTAGACAACACCTAAGTTGCTTGGTAGAAACTTCTAGCAATCTAAGAGAAATTATCAAGAAATTATCTAATACTGAGACCTCATGAGCTGGGCCAGTTTCAGACAACAGATTATTATATTAGCCCTTACAGAGTTTCACATTTAAGCTCAGTACTACTCTATGCACGGACACTCCTCTAGGAATGCCATAGCTGTATTGGACACGTCACGTGTGGTATAGGGTCGGACATGTGTCCAACATAGTTAGAAATGTCTTGTAATTTGAATATTGTCTTTTATTAGTTGGACATGACATGAAAATGACAAGGATACAATGGGGACATGACTGGAATGTTGGGCAGTTTCAAGACCAGGCAGGGTAGTTTGTAATAATTTTTTTTTTTTTTCAATGGGGTTCAAATGTAATTTTAAAAGTAATTCGGTTCATTGGAAAAAAAAATATATATAAAATTTAGAAAATGAAAGCAATATTTATCCAACCCTAAGATGTAAATTAGTGATTGCGGTTCATGATAATTTAGATAAAATTAGGTAATAAAAATATATTATTATTATTTTGACGTATCCTTCCATGTTCGTGTCCTACTTACTTATTTATTTTTGAGATTTGTCATATTGCAGTGTCCATATTGTGTCATACCCGTGTCCAGTGTTCGTATCTGTGCTTCTTAGGCACTACTAAACTAAAAGCTATAATCTTGCAATAAACTAACAACTAATTACATAACTTAATATTATGTATCAATTACCCCCTTCACAAATTTGAATCCTTTGTGGAGTCCACTTGTTCACAAGATCATTTTGCATCTCTACTGTTTATTCCAACACGTAAAACTTGGCCTAAACCTTATGACTAAATTGAATCTGTTCATAGATTGTGAAATGTTGTGGACTATAAAATTCATTAAGCAATAATATTCATCACTATTTCAGTGTAAATGCCTTGATGCTGTTTATTTTTTGGGCAATTTTAAACTGGACTTCATTGAATCTATATAGTTTTGCTCTATATTGATTGCATTTCTCTTTCTGTTTTGGCATCTAATTCAATGCATGTTATTTTAATTATTGAACATAGTATTTGTGTGATATTCTACAGGGCACCAACCTTCCCAATAAGATACCTCTCAATGCTAATATCAGTGTCAACTTTTGTTGATTTTGGAACACATAAAGATATATCGCGTAAGTTTATTGATTATGTCTTATGCCTTCGTGATTCTGTGTTAGGTATTACATGATGTAGACAGTCTGAAGATGGAAGAAGATAGTGACATCGAGGTTGATGATAATTTTGTAGAAGCAACAGGTGATTCAAACGAGATTGATCATGAGCAAATTACTGCTGCTTCACCTCTTGTAGTCGAAGATGGTAAAGTTAAGGATGTGAAAGCATCAATTCCTTTAAACAAGCTGGTAGATAAAGAAAAGGATGCAGCTAAACCAAGGTCCATTCCTCCACCTGGCTCAGGGCAGGGAATATATAAAATAGATCCACTTTTGAGAGGTTATTCCGAACATCTTGATTATAGGTGAGGTGCCTTCCATATTTTAATTAATGCTACTTCTGTGAGAAGGAACATGTTAGCAGTAAAGTGAACCATGGGAGGATGCATAATTTATTTTGTTGAGTTCTTGCACTTTAGAACTCTAGTTTGATGAAGCAAGAATCCATACAAGCTGAATCTTGGTGGGCTCCTTACCACTGTGTTGCAAAAGTGTTCCCTTAGAATAGTAATTGTTCACATGGAGTATTTAAATATATATTTTTTTGGGTTAGTTTTCATGGAGTGAATTAACTCCCTAGCACATGTATTGAAGCTTGGAAATTACTCATTTTTTCTCACAAGGACTCCCCAACAGTTAACCCATTTTTGTACTACTCTCACCTGAGAATGCTTAGTTACGGAGTTTGATGGAAATTGCTTGTTATTTTATTTTCTTAATGTGGAAATAGCCGCTTATTGAGTACTTTCCATATCGTAATATCTAACATAAACCTCTTTTAGCCTATTGATAGATCAGGATTCTACGATTACTTAGAAAAGAAAGAAAGAGAAAAAGAAGATAAGAACAGGTGAAATAAAAAAAAAAAAACTTATTATGTAAAGAAATAAAACTTTCCCATCCTTGAATAAATCTATCTCATAAAGTAGTAACCTTTTTTTCAACCATACGGATAAGGTTCCTCATAGCCTGCTAGTAAAGTCTAAAGGAGGTGTTATCAGAGACCTGGATGAAGTTTTTGCCTTAACAAAAAACAGATACCAGTTCGTGCCAAAACAACATAACTCAAAATAAATCAAAAATTGATCTGAAAAATATGTAAATCTTGGCAATCATATTACCAAATTACAATTAATTGAATAATTTTTTTTTTTTCTTTTGGTTGGATGTAGTTTTGTGAATATATGTGACAAAGTAGTTGGTCCTGAAGAGTACATGATACATGTACATTTATCTATCTCTTAATGTCATAAAGTCACCTTTAAGCAATTGGTTGTATATATTTTTATGGGCATGCAACATTTTGAACTATAGACTTGAGCATGAATCAATATTTTGAAACCAGTGAAAGATACATTGTAGCAAGTACTCTGGTGTTGTTTTGGTGGTTAAGGGATGAAATTTTAATTAAAATTCTTCGGCTTTGACCAGTATGCTTGTTCACTGTGACTTTTTGTGCATTAACATGCTAATAACAATCATCAACCTTTGTTTATCATACCTAGGTAATAATGGTGTTCATCTGATGCATCTTTCTACTGTTCTCAATTGATTAACTCCAATTTATGTTTCTTTTTGCATTTAACAATGCTGGCAGATTGTCCTGTGTGCTTTTGCCTTTTGATCCCAAAGACTTATCCTATGCCACCGTGTAAATTTGTCCAATTACAGGTATGGGCAATACAAACGAATTCGTGAGGCAATTGACAAGCATGAAGGTGGTTTGGAAGCGTTTTCTCGAGGCTATGAGAAATTTGGTTTCACCCGGAGGTATTGCTCTTATATCTCACTTTTTAATTTCATTTTTTTCTTTGCTCTTCTATTACATAAACATTTGAATGCCATATAATGCACATCTTTGCTTAATATCTGAATGTAACATATTATTCTTTGTCTGAGAGGACAACTTATTAAAAGATAAAGTAGAATGAAAATGGAAAGGTGATCTTGAAAATGACGCAGAGACATGAAATTGAAAATTCTACTCCCATGAGTTTACTATTTATCTAAGATCTATCTATCTTGTGGCTGGGGGTTTTAGTGCATTTCCTTTGGCCAAAATTTTTGCTTCTTAAATAGCCTTATTATTACTTTGCAATGCTGCTACTGAAATATTGCAATGGTTATCAACTCCTAGTTTAGTACAATCATTTTCATTTGACCTGCTTGTAAACAATAAATTTGCGGCTGTGCATGAATTGGAAGGATATATGTGTATTAGTGGAAAAGGAAATAGATCCCCCAATAGAGAAAGAAACACTGCAATATAAATGAAGAATTTTACTTCAGAATCTAGAGTGTACTATTCAGTCCCGCAAAATCTAAAGGACAAGGAAGAAGAAATTGAGAGATGCAGAAGAAGGAAAAGGAAATAGATCTTCTAAAAGAGAGAGAAACACTGCAATATAAATGATTAGAGATGCATAAGCGGGAAAAAGAAATGGATATTCTGAAAGAGAAGAAAACATTGCAATATAAATGAAGAATTTTTACTCCAGACAGCATAAATTAAAAATAAGATAGAGAAACAGGTTTGCTTTTGGTTTTACACTGTATTTTCACTAAGCCTGTCATAATCAAATGGTAAATACAAGTGCAATGTCTATAGAGAGAAGAAAAAGAAAAAGAAAAAGAAATGCCAATAACATGAGGAGGCCGAGACAGAGATGGAACTGGACAACTCTGCCTACCCTGAATAATGATCTCATGCCTTTCAGTACTTGCATACACATAGCTGTATAAAGGGTAAGGTCTCTAGCTGTAAAGCACCGACATGTCAATAAGGGTTGCCGTATCCACGTCAGACACGTGTCTAACACGGATATGCGCGTCCAAGGCTTGAACACGTGTCCCTTTTTCTTCTAATCAGACACGCCGTCAGACACTGGGACACGTCAGATGAGGACACGACTTTAGATGATATTTATAAATATTTGAATGCATACATGTGTATCCATTCACAGAGATGATCTAATATATCAATAGATGGAGGGGATGAGAGGAATACTTGAAGAGAGAGTCTGAGATCTGTGATTCATAGAGTGAGGAAGATAGATAGGTGAAAAGATGGAGGAGATGAAGAGAGTCGCCTGGAAAGCCGTAAAAGGAAGAGAGTGGGAAGAGAGAGAGATCAAAATCTTATCTTGTTTTCCAACATGTTTGATTACAGGGATAAAAAATGTGGCTTTTGGAATAGATATATAGCTTTTATTTATATTTTAATGGAATTTGGGTCTGTTTACACATAAAAACTATTTATGTTACCCTGTCAGGAGCCTACCCTGAGTTTAATTGTTCATTGGCTGCCCCACCTTGTGTCAAAGGTTGGGATGGGTATGGACATAGTTTTTTCTTTATGGGGCAGGGTTGGAAAGGGTTCCACGCCCCAAACCCCATCATTGCTATTCATTCCAAGTTTAAGTCTTGTTTGATCTTCCTAATATTGCCCAACCCTTTTTTGATGATCTCCAAACTTGTTCCGCTAAGAAGCATGGACAGGGAATATGGACACGATACGACACAGATACCCCCAACACGCCAAGTTCTAAAAAAGTAGAACACTACACAGCTAATATAAATATAAATTTCATTTATATATCTATTGATTAAGACAATTATGGAACTTTAATTACTTTATAATTTCTATACTGAAGTTACATAATTTAGAAGGTGAAGCTATTCGAATATAAAAAAGAATATATTATATTATATGTGATATTTCTATTCTATCTTGTCATTGTAGTTATGTTTTTGTTCATATTACATTATATGACGTGTTTAATGTCAATTTTGAAAGAAAAAGAGGTTGGACACGGCTGGACACTTTGATACATGTTCATAATTTTGTTTCTAGGACTGCCTTATGTTTGGTTTATATAAGACAAAGTGTGGGACATGTTGACAAGTTTTCGGAATGTGTCGAAGTGTCCGAAATAATAAAAATTATTTTTAAATTATGGACTCTGTCATGAAGTGTGAGAGATGTGTCCAAGAGTATCCTTGACGTGTTGGTGTCTGACACGGACACGGCACCTCATAGAAGTGTCTATGCTTCTTAGGGTTGGACAAGGCTGGTTATCCGTTTTTCAGGGTAGATTGTGATACCTAGGCATTGTTGTGGAGACATAGATGTGGTTGATGTGGAAGTTTAGAGGGAATATGGCATGGGAGGCTGAAGAGGAAATCCTTGTTGCGAGAAAACCATATTTTCTTTGATATTAGTGAGTTCAGAAGCTTTAAACTTTGTTTACCACCTCTGAAAGCTTCAGATTTCTTTTACCAGTTTCTGATGAGAGTATCAATTACATAGTAAGAGAATCAAGGAGAGAATAGGAGGAAGAGCAAGAGAAGTTGATAATGAATCAATTAGGATCAACTATTGCTCCATTACCATGTATTGAAAGCCGATAAGAGGAAGAGGAAGAGGAAGAGGAAGAATTAAAAGCAAGAATAGACGTGAGATGGGGCTTAACCATTGAGAGTTTTGGTTCTTCTACTTATATTACTAAAGATTAAAATTAGAAAATTACCCTTACTACAAAGAAGTATAAAGTAAAAAATGGAAACAAGAAGGAATGTTCAATGGAAGTAGAAAGTAAAACTGATATTTTTATTATATGTAGTAGAGTTTATTTGCTCGTTGTTTAATGTTTGCTCGACATGAAATAATTTGTATATATACTTCACTTTACACACAAACACAAACACAAACACATAGGGCCATTGCTTGGTGCACTGGTAGTAATCTTGGGTCGTCAAGCGTGAGGATTCAGGTTCGAATCCTGAGAGCACCACATTGTGCAATTAATGCAAAGATTAGGTCTGTATCTAGTCCATCCCTTCCAGCACCCTCGATTGACAGGACCCACACTGGGTAATGTTTTCTTGATAAAGATGTATATGTTGTTTCCATATACAACTTTCTACTTATATATGGCTTCTCTCAATCAGTTCTAACTTTGAGTAAGAACTTCCTTTTGTCCTTTCTTTGTTTTATATGTTATAAAATGGCCTTTCAGAAGGATATTGTAGTTGCTAATTTTCATCCTTATTATTTTTTCAGTGCCACAGGTATCACTTATAGAGAGTGGGCACCTGGAGCTAAGGTTTGTTTTGCTTCATCTCTATTTATGAAGTGCCTTATTCATTTTCTCAATTATTTCTTGATTAGTCTTAACATTTGTGGTGATTCTTTAGACTTGGTATTTCTGTGATTAAAGTTAGATATGAATTGCAATCCCCTGGGTCTTACATGACTATGCAAAGTTTAAACACAGCGTACACTTGTAAAACTCGATGATTTCTAGCCCTGAATATTGCATACTTGTTTTAAGATAAGGTTTCAAGGGTATGTTATCTGACATTTGGGTCACCTGGCTAAATCATACTGACGTGTACTAAGGGCATTAAAAACAGAAAACGAACGTAGGATGTTTGTTTGTGTGTGCCAACGGATTAGGAAGAAGATTGAATGGTTAATTTAAGAGACTTGACAAGGTTGAGTGTCTTTAATTTCTGTTGTAATGTAAAGCTGTTTACTTAAGTTGTACCTCTAATATGCAATGAGATTTCTTGAGAGCTCCTTCTTTAGTCTTTAACACACACAATAAAATAATTTTTTTTTTGTTAAAAGACAATCTAGCATTTGCCTTTGTAGGTAGCAGAAATGGAAAACTAATGTCATCAACGAATGTAAATGCAAGGACAATAATATGTATAAGGAAAAAATAGAAGTTGCTTCTTTCTTGTAGTTTGGTTAATCAAGGGTGTGGATGTGGTTCAGCCACATCACCCAGGGTCAAGTCAAGATGACCCCACCTTAGTACTACCCTCGAGTAAGAAGACAACACTTCTGCAAAACTTCTGCAAAATCCACCTCAGCAAAGGAAGTAATAAACCAATAAGCCTTGAACCCTGACCTGCCTTAGCAATCTGTCGATGGGCCTTGAACCTCGATCCAGCCCGATGAGAAATTGTCGATCGACGGGCCTTGAACCTCGATTTGACCTGATGACAAGCTGTCGGTCGACGGCCCTTGAACTTCGATCCAACCTAATGACAAGTTGTCGATTGACGGGCCTTGAACCTCGATCCGACCTAATGACAAACTGTCAATCGACGGGCCTTGACCCTTGATCCGACCTCGCCACAAACTATCGATCGACGGGCCTTGAACCTCGATCCGACCTAATGACAAACTGTCGGTCGACGGACCTTGAACCTCGACCCGACCCAGCCACAAACTGTCGATCGACGGACCTTGAACCTCGACCTGACCCGACCCAGCCACAAATTGTCAATCGACGGGCCTTGAACCTCGATCTGACCTCGCCACAAATTGTCGATCGACGGGCCTTGAACCGCGATCCGACCTAGCCATAAATTGTTGACCTGTCGATCGACGGGCCCTGAACCTTGATCTGATCTAACCTTGTGCCAAAGCAATGAAGAGTTATGGTAGGACTCTTCAAGGTCGATGGGATGCAGAAGGGATATTGGAATGAAGGATGGAAAATTAGTAATGTCTTGCTCTGCAAGGCAAGGCCCAATTTGAGGATTAGAGCAAAAGACAGCTGGAATAGTACAATTGCCTTTACAGCATACCATTTTTGGGTCACTCAATAGGAAAGGTACACTTGGCGGCAATTCCAGAAATATAGGGATTAGGGCAACACAACCCAAAAAGGGCATGACCCTGATCCATTTCCAAGCTGAAGGCCCAACAATATGTCACCTGAGTGACCTAGGGCTATAAAAGGAGGTAGTGACACAAAGACAAGGACCAAGAGAACTGACGGCAACTTTTTCCCTACCATTGCTCAAATTCTCTCACTGGACTGATTTTTTCTCCCTTCTTCCACCCTTCTGCATTACTCATATTGTTTAGTGGTATATTCCCAGACCTCTTTGACTTTTCCAGGACCGACGAAAAACAGGTATCTACAAAGGGAAAGTGTTTCCTTGGGAACAGAATGTAGAAAGAAGAGCGAAACTTATTACCACTGGAGACCAAGTTTGATGAAGCTAAAAATTTAGGAGTAAAAGTTTTAGTACTGCAGCAGTTGTGCTTTAAACTTTTAGCAACTGAACTTTTAGCTCTAAAATTCAATGTCAAATTTGTTAGTTTACATTAAAATTCAGAACCGCCTTTCTTTCAGCATTAGCATTTGGTAAAAATTTAGGTTTCTATGATTCAAAATCAATACCATCTTTAGAGGATTTTACTCTTTAAGCCGTAATGACTTTTGCTACGATGGATAATAGGAGTTACAAGATGAGATAAGATTAATAATGAAGTTTTAAGGGTGGAAAAGGAGAATTCATGTGGCCAAAGGTGTATGAAATTAAGGCAAGGGTCCACCCTCATTGAGAGAGAAAGCTTCCGGTAACGAAGGCGTGGCCTGAGCCTACTACTCCGACCAGTCACCGGAGTCATCTACTTTGGTGAAATCCTCAGTTACTTTCCTTGGTTTTTCTCTTTCCTCTCTTGTGGTTTGGGTTTTGTTATGCGTTCTTTCTTGGAAGTTGCGAGTCTCCCATGCCTGTTTCAAGGAGGCTATGTGAGAACTGCTTCTACGTACAGAGGGTCGTCGTTTTTCTTGGATGATGACTCAGTGGGTAAGAGAAGGGAGGATCTGAGGTTATGTTTGGTTGGGAAATTCGACAAAGAAGTGGGTTCTAGGGCTCAGATTGCAGATTAGGCCTCGTGTGCTTGGAAAGTGTCTCCAACTGTGGTTGTGTCACCTCTGCCGGACTCTCTACTCTTCCGATTTCCCTCTTCGACGGTAGAAGAGAGAGTGCTCAAGGAGGGGTGTCGTGTCTGGGGGAAGGCCACTCTTTCTGTGGACTTAATGGAGTTTCAGGGTGGGATGCTCCGAGATTTTGAAAGAGCAGGGGTTGAAGAAGGTGACGTTGTACGGCCTCTCTTTGCACCTTTGGAGTCACGCTCTTTTTGTGATGATTGGGGATTTGTGTGGAGGGTTCATTTGGGTGGATGCTGATGAGTCCCTTGACGCTGAGAAGGTTCGGATCACTGTGTCTGATGGACGTGTTTTCCCATCGTTCATCTTCGTTCATGATGACCGTTTTTGCTATAAGGTGGCTGTTTGGGAGGAAATGCTTCCTCAACTCGTTTTGACGACTGACAACTTGGGGGGGGGGGGGGATGGATCTCATTTGCTGAAGGAGGTGGAGTGGTTGAGATGGATTTCTATGGGTGAGAAGGGGATTGCTAATTTCCGGCGATGGAAGGAATGGAGAGATAAGCTCTGGGATCGCATCACAGTGTGTTTTAGACGACTTTTCACTCAGAGAAGGCGAGAAAGCTCTTCTTCTTCGTTGGTTGGTGGCCGGAAAGTTCAGAGGGGCAGTGGGCTAGGTTTTGGCCGTCGGTTGCAGAGATGGGATAGGAGCCTTCATAGAGGTGGCTTTCACGCGCAACCAGCGCATGGGTGGGGGAGAAATGATACCCTTGCATGTGGTTGGTGCAGAGTTGAGAACCGTTCAAAGTGGGTTACAGTTGGTCTCAATTCAAAATCACATGCGAGGCCAAGAACAGACAAGTTGGCATTAAATGTTGGTGGGCTTGCTATTAGGCTAGCGAAAGGGGATTTGGCTAAGCAGGCTCATGTTCCTTGTGGACCGCCTCTTCTTAATGGTGTGTCTGAACCGGTGGGTTGTGGTCTGGATAAAGGTAAGGCGGCCCATATTGATGCTTTTGAATGCACACAAGGTCACACTGTTGGGTTGGGCAGTGGGTTTGAGGTTGGGCTGGGTTCTCAGCTTGATTTATCTGGGCTGTTTGTTCTAATCTTGAAGTGGCTAACCGTTTTGGACCACTGTCTGCATCCGTTGATGGTCCATCGGCAAGCCGTCTGGTTCATCTCTTGTCACAGTTGGACGGCGAGCTAGGAAGCCACCGCAGGGACACCGTTTGAAGTCGAAGAAGCGGTTTCTTCTCCCTTCCTTTTGACGAAGATGGACTTGGATGGAAAAGCAGAAGTGGGTTCCATGTGCAGTTCTTGATTCGGGTAAGTCTGGTTTTTATCATAACTTCTCTTCTGTCTCTCCGTCATCTACTCCCCCTTCTCCTCCTTCGGTTGTGGTGAGCAAGTCCTCGGAGAGATTGATTTCTGTGTCCAAAAACCTTTCCTCGGTTTTTGAGGATGGGTTGGTGAATGGGTTGGGTGATTTGCTTGGGGGCTGTCAGGTTGATGGGTTGGGCCACTCTTGTTTTGTTGAGTGCAAGGGAGAGAGTGTCACTGTTTGTGTGGGACGTGATGTGAAGATTGCTCTTGAATGTTCTCTATTCTCAGTTTGTTGAAAGAATGGGAAGTAGGGGGAGTAGGGGGAGTTTCCCAGTGGAGTGGGAGGAGAGGGGGGTTGTGAGCCCCTTGACTTTTGTTACTTATGAAAGGAGGAATAGAGGTCCAGGGAGAGGGGTAGTGGAAGGAGGGGAGAGACTGTTATTTTTACTGTTGACTCAACGACCCGGCTAGAAGAAAAGTGGTGAAATCGGTGATTTGGAAAGGGGGTGGGCATGTTGTGTGTCTGCAAGAAACCAAGATTGCCTCAATAACGGATAGGATTGTTAGAAGCTTGTGGGGAGGGAGATTTTTGGAGTGGTTTGCTTTGGATGCGATTGGTTCTTCGGGTGGTATTCTGATTATGTGGGATAACCGGTGGGTCTCTTTGATGGATTCTCAGGTTGGGCTTTTCTCGGCTTCGTGCGTTCTTTCTTTGGTGAAGGATGGTTTTCGTTGGGTTTTTCCTGGCGTCTATGGTCTTTCAGAGGATAGTGTTTGTCATTTGCTCTGGGAGGAGTTGGGGGAGATTTGTAGGAGATGGTCGCTGCCTTGGTGTATCGGTGGGGATTTCAATGTTGTGCGCTCTCCTTTTGAGAGGTCGTCAGGGGGCAGGTGGACAGTCGACATGGTCTCTTTCACGGAATTCATTGACGCTCATGGTTTGTTTGATTTGCCTTTGGTGGGTAGGCCTTTCACTTGGTCCAATGGTCGCTCTCTTCCCACTCTCTCTCGTCTTGACAGATTCCTTTTGTCAAGTGATTGGGAGGAGAAGTTTTTTGATGTTGTTCAGGCCATTTTGG